TTCTCCGGTACGTTATGGGCCTCGTGCAAGCTGCTTCAGGTGATGTGAGGGCATCCAGTGGAGGTGCCAGGTGCGACTACGGCCACCCCGGGCGGCGTGCTCTGAGGATAGCTTAGGTAGCGGGTGCTGTGTGCTGTCCTGGAGACCACCCCCTCTCCTCCTTTTCGTACGGGTACGGTTGGCCGGTTGGCCTGGGCCTGGGCCTGGGCCCCGGAGCAACCGTACCCGAATTCCTGGGCCGGGTACAGTAGTAGGGCCGGGGGCCAACCTAACCCGAATCCCTAAGCCATGGCTAAGCACCTGCAGGTGCGGTTAGCCCGGACCACAAAGGGCAACTGTAACTGTACCCGAGTCCAAGGGCCGGGTACTGTTGGACTGGGGCGCTGGGGGCAACCCTACGTACCAACCCTATGCATCATGCATAATTGCTTTCAAGATTGGTGCTTATGCTATTGACGAAATCATGATATTGGATCTTTGCACGAAATTTTCCGTTACAGCAAAATAAATTTTGTTCTCTCAAAGGAGCGTTTTTTGGGGGTTGTTGATATTAGGATTCAGCCAGATCAGATCCCCCACACCACAAACAACGCACCTGCGGGGCGTTCATCATTTAATTGCCGGTGAGGGGGAGGACGACCGGCCGCACTCACCCGCTTACGGCCGTGCCAGACAAGACATCCCTCATGCTTGTTCGCAATCGACGCGCCCACTCCCCGTCACTCGCGCCGCGCCGCGCCACGCCCCGGAGAGGCGCGCCCAGGCCCAGGCGCTTTTAGCGAAAATGATATATTGCTGGTCATGAATATAAAACTGAAACGTCGGAGAGAGAATGGCGGTGGCTAGGTGCGGCTGCGGCGGGGTGGCGGGGCGCGGGCCGTGCATGGTTATAGGCCTTGCCTGCAGCTGCGGCGGGGCGCCCAGACTCCTACTCTGTGGGGAGGGTCACGAGGTACTTGTGCGGCGTACGGCGTACGTGGACCACCTACTAGACCACAGACCAGCGCAACGTCGCACCGTGCTGCATTCTCGCCCTCCTCTCTTATCGCAACAGCTCTGATCGCCCCCCCCCCTCCACACCCCTACCCACACGCGCTTATTCTGGAGCCTTAGCCCCCTCCCCTCTCTCCCTCAACCAGGAATAAGGCCCCGCTCGCTGGCTGGCTGTTTCCTGCACGAATCTGATCCGTTTTCACCCCCTCTCCCTTTCCCCAGTTAGGCTGAGCCGGGGGGCCTACCTCCTGATCCCGTGTTGGGGTGCCCTCCCCTCTCCCTCACCCCTCGCCTCGAACTCCTCCCCTCCCTCCCCCAGTCCCCCGCTTTCTTGCTACACTCCGCCTCGACGTTTATTTGGGATCGGCAGCGCTGGGAAGTGATCGGACGGAAAAGCACCTCGGAGGCCCTGGCCGGGCGGGGCCGGGCCGGGGAGGCTGCGTCGGGAGGGATAGGCAAGTAATTGGACCTGTTGCCTGGACCTGCGCGTGCGTGTGGAGGAGGGGCCCGCGGGCTCGGCTTAAAGCACAGGGGGTCTGACATGATTCTTTCCGCTAGCTTGCATTCGCAGACCGCGGAATCAATTTCGAGTGTTGACGGCAGAAAAAAAACGACGAGGAAACGACGACACAGGGTGTTTCGGCCGGATCCAGAAAGGAAATGCGGGGGACAAGAAGTTGTGCTTTCTCCTACATCCAATGCGGACCGAATGATTTCAAAGCAGCTCTTCGATATGTATGCGCCCGTGTATTATCATGTCGTTGCTCATGGAATGTAATCCGAGGATGATCATACTCACCCGCCGCAGGCCATTCACAAAAGTGACTTGTGGGCCTCATGTGTAGAGTTGTGCATGACTAAATAGTATTTTGAAACATTAAAATACACTTTTAACTGATCGACATGCGTGTTTTCGTTACTTTTTCTCTTCTCTGGGTGCTGGTCTCATTTCAGAGCTGCTGAATATTCGACAAGTAAGCCGTGGCTAAGTATTACCTACCCAGTGAAGGGGAAGGGTAGCTGGAGGGTTCAGGCTGGGCCAGGCAGGCAACCTGATTCTGCTGCTGGGGGGCGGCCGGGAGATGGGCGGGGCGGAGTGGGGGTGCACGCCCAGCCGCAAGGCCCGCCCGGCCCGGCCGCCTGCGCCCGCCCGCCCCAGTGCCAGTCAGTTCCGAGACCCGGTCGAGGGATCAACACCGGCAGAGCTGTGCCGCGCTGCCGCCGCCGCGCGCCGTGTCGTGTTTCAGTCCGCATCTGCCGGCCCTGTCCGCCGGACTAGATAAAAACCAAACAAACGCCGAGTCGAGTCGAGTCGAGCCGAGCCAAGCCGAGCCGCCGCGCGGGCGAGGTTGTACGCGGGTTTGGGTTTGGGTCATTGTTTGTGACAGTGTAGACGAGCCTGGATGGTGAGCGGATGTCGTTGAGCCGCTAAGCGCGCAAAGAGCAGTTGCTAATAATTATTACAGTGTCGTGGTGTTGTGATGTGATTTGTGCCGTTGAGGATTACATAACCTAACTTGTTCAGCCGGTAAGTAAAATAACCCATCGTTTCTCTTTATTTATTTTCTTTATTTCTCCATTCCTTTCAACATTTGGTTAAAACTCCATTGTTCTCTTAGCGACTGTGAATACGCGCGAAGAAGAATCAAAATATTGGCTGAACGCCTGACCCAAAATATCGCTAAATGAAAAATTAAAACAGCAAAGCCATACTGTTAAGTTGACCGTTTGCACTCCGCGTCCGTCGTGGCCGGTGGCCTTCCTCCTTCAGTCCGTCCGCCCGGACAGATGACCGCAGTCCGCCCTCGCGAACTTGCCCGAAAACGTAAAGAGAGTAGCAGACATCTGTCTGGGCGGGCGGACTGGGGGCGGACGCGGACGCATCAATGCGTTCACTGTGGGGGCATACCTTTTGGAGTATGTCCGAATTCTCTATCATTCCGTTGCGATCTGTAATTTGGTCGGAATGAGTTGGAGGAATGGTAAAGTGGAGGTGTGGATTCTGACCTATTCGGAACGGAACTATGATAATTCGGCGGCCAGATTTCTGAAGACATACGGACCGATTTCCTAGAGACGACCGTGAACATTATTAGCAAAATGAAAAAGAAATTCGTATGCAAGGCGGTGCTAGGGTCAAGTATTATTTTCGGTGCCAGTTATGCGAAGACATTGCAAAACATGTTTTAACTCACACAATTACATAAATCGCATTAAAAAAATGAAACATGAATGGACATTGTGGTTCATTGGATGGTCGTATCATTATTGCTTGATTCGGCTTGATTGTGCTTTAAAAGGCCTGGATGTTGCCACTGTCAGTTGAACCAATAGTAATCTCTTACCTCACCAAGTACCAACAATGTATCCGTCCTTCTCGTCGACGATTTTTTATTGACAAAAAAGGGCACTATACCATATCGGGTATTACAGAATCAGGAACTGTACACGGAGAAAAATAATTAGTTCATCCAACTCATACGTAGGTTGATATAGGAATCACTAACGCTGTTGGGTTGTGAGAACGAACAAATTCGTTGTCTCATCCAAGTGTTCGCTAATGCAACGCAAAATTCGTTGGAGCAACGAACACATCGCTGAGAGAGCGAAGGCGATCGTTGATTCAACTAAAAACGCTTTCGTTCCAGCAATCAGCTTTATTCACTTCGTCAACGATCTATTCGCTCACACAACTAAGAATTCGTTCTACCAGCAAACGCTCGATTAAAACAACGGATATTGTGTTCCCACAACGAATTCTTTTTGCAAGCTCCAAATCAACTCAAACATGGGTTGAAGCAACGAATTATTTTTTTCCGTGTACTCAGCGCTCGATGGGGAAACTTGTTTGTTTCGCACCGACTCCTCGGTTTGGGAAGAGGCCCTGGCCCCGCCGACCCCGCCCCACTGAGTGGCCACCAAGAGCCCCAGAGAGT